TTCTTCAAGTATTTTCTCAATTTGTTATGGAATGTATGGGGATAAGGAGGTGGTAAGAATAACACTAAGGGTACTTGTCGCTCTGTATGGGGCATCACAGGCCTGTGCTAGTAGGTGAGTTGAGGGTCTGGGCTAGAGTCCTAAGGTGTGTATTTCTAATCACAAGAAAGAGTACAGTATGGCTTATGAGATGGAGGTGTTCATCAATCCCTTGCCTGTGTGTGATGCAAGTTCTGAAGGTGTTGACTGGTGACTTAGAGAAGACAGAAGTACGAGTAAAACAGATTTTTAGAATAACTGCTTCTTAAACTGTTCTCTCAATCTCCTCAGGAGAGCCAAGTTCTTCTGACTCTGACCAATCCAGTGGAGAACATCACACATGTCACACTGCTGGAGTGTGAGGAGGGAGACCCTGAAGATATCAACAGCACTGCCAAGGTATTGAATCCTCCTGCGCTACAACCCCAGGTCTTTTTCAAGGCTCTCCCTTTCCATTTATCCACCCTCCAGTGACACCTTTGACATGTTGACATGACACCTCAGTCTTTGTTGACTGTATTACTTTTTCCTCCTTGGAGGCTTAAAAGACGGTCAGCAACATAAATGTCATTGTCGGACAATAAAATATTTGAATATGTGTCTGTTCATTGAGATCCATAACCCAAGGGAGAAATATAGAGAGGCCACTTTGCCCGTGGTGTAGGAGCCTGAATTAACCAGAGTAGAGTTAAAACACAGGATGATTCACTCTTCTGTTGAGCTTTAGTTAAGCAGCCCCTGGAAGGATGCTGTCCTGGTTGCAGTGTGTGTGATAGATCTTTCCTGTCTGTGCTGTCTTTCAGGTAGCAGTTCCTCCCAAGGAACTTATTCTGGCTGGCAAAGATGCTGCAGCAGAATATGATGAGCTGGCAGAGCCTCAAGACTTCCAGGATGACCCTGAGTGAGTGTTGTGTTTTCTCTGTTCCCAAAAACAACTGGTGCTTTAGCAGAGTAGCTTGTTGCTTTTTTGCCTGCTAAAGAAGCATGATAAGGTGTGTGTGTGTTTGTTTTTTCTTAGAAATTAGAAATGTGAGTCTATTTTGATTGTTTCTGATTTGGACTATTCAAGAAATGTTTCCTCTGAGGCAGGGTGTGCTGTTGTAGCAGCTGGGTTATAGGTAGTGTATATATAGCTTTGTGAAATCTGTTTTTTCTCAAGCAAAAGGTTCGTAGCAGTGGCATGAGCAACACAGTAATACTGTGTGCTACATGGAGGTCCCTTCAGTCTTCAAAATGGAAAAAGTTCTGCAGCCTCCTGAAGGGCTGTATCAGTTGTGTATCATGGCCCTTCTCTGTTGCACAACTGGATCTGTTAACTCCTATTCTAGCTGGGCAGATTCAGCCTGCAACTATAAGTATCTTTTATGGTATCAGAACAAATCTTTGCAAAGCAATTGTTTGAGAACTTGGCTGACCCACCGTGCTCTTGTTTTCTGCCCTGCAGCATTATTGCCTTCAGGAAAGCCAATAAGGTTGGAGTTTTCATCAAGGTCACTCCACAGAAAGAGGATGGTGAAGTGACCGTGAGCTTTAAGATGAAGCATGAGTTTAAAAACCTTGCTGCTCCAATCCGGCCCACTGAGGAGGGTGATCAGAGCTCGGAGGTCATCTGGCTCACCCACCACGTGGAGCTCAGCCTCGGTCCAGTGCTCCCATAAACACTCCCAACACCTGCATCCCGACGGCTGGCCGCAGGACAGACTGTCACAGTAGAGGAATGCACCTGGTGAGAAGCTCTGGGAGATCCTCTGGTGTGTGGATGTGTGCCAGGCCTCCAGCCATGCCACGAGGAGGAAGCTGCATGGGTGTGGGCGAGGGTACCGTGTTCTTGGATGACTTGTTCTTCTCCCTCCCCTTGTCTTAGTGTCCCTTAACTACTACTCCGTTTCCCCACACCACTACCTGCTAGTTTAACTTATAGCACATGTTTCAGCACCGAGAAAGTTCTAGCTTTCTCCAGATCTGCACTACACTGAGCTGATTTTTTTTTCTTTATCAAAAGAGGAGAATCTTTATTGGTCTCCTCCATCAGCCCATAAGGCTAATGCTATGTGCTCAATTACGGATTTTTTTTCAGCTCAGAGCTATGCCCTTTCTGAGAAAAGATGTTTGGGAGGTGCCCATGTCTGCTGCATTATAGCCAAGTCTCTTGCAGCCAGATTTTTTCCTGCTTCCTGATAGGATCCCTCAAATAAATGTGGGGGACTTCTCTTGTTATGGAAAAACAAAGAGAAACAAACAAAAAACACTTTGGCATGTGTAGCTTGCTTTGGCCAAGGTGATAAATTTGTGTTCACAAAGAAAATGATCACTTTGCCTTTAATCTCAAAATATAGAATACTGTATTGTTCATGGATTGGACTGACAGTGCTGCCTAAGTCTGTAGGGGTAGGCTTAGGATGGATTTGACAGCCTGGTGCTTTACAAGGTGGGAATCTGCCTGTGATACAGCTCTTCACTGAGGTAAGGATGTTTCTGCAGAGCCGCCTGCCACTCTTCTTATCAATAAAATTGTGCTAAGGCAGCAGCACCCAGAGTATGAAACCTGGAGAGTTTAGATTAGGTCCAGCGTGCATAAAACTTAAAGGTGTTTGTGTTGCTTCTCAGTCTTTTTCCTGTTATAGTGAGCTGGAGAAAAATGTGAAGGAGAGAAGACTGTTACACTTTAACTAGCATATCCTGTGCCATTATAAAAAGATAACTTGGTCCGTGGTGTATCAGGGTGTAATTTGGCTCTAGTCCAAGCTGAAACTCAACTAAGCTGTGTACCAGGTAGCTACAGCAGCATAATGCAGGCAGGCAAGACTCTGCTCTCTGCAGGGACTTCATTTGCAGTCGCAGTTCCGACATTAACCTTTATTAAACATTTCTGATGGTCTTTAACGTGCTGGTGATGAAAAGGGCTGCTTTTCAGCCTTGCTCAATGGCTTTAGCGCTTGAAAGTGATGACCCCCTTCTGGCAGGGTGAGGTTGCCAAGTGTCTGTGGGTGAGGAAGGGATCGTGCTGCCTCCTGTCCTCCTCGAGTAAGGATGCAGCCAAGGGCTCGGGGTGCCCCGAACTGCCCCTCGCCTGAAGCAAGGAAAAAGGGGGTGGCCAAGGGTTGAGGGCCTGCAAGCTCTCCTGCTCGTGGGTTTGTGCAAGGCTCTGCCCCTCTCTACAGCATGAGTTTAAATGTTTTGTATGTGTTCCTCATTACTAGTGTTGGTGTCCGCTGCTGTTCTACCTGGCGAGATAAGGCAGCCCTTGAGTTTTGGTCCCCTTTTGGTCCCTTTCTCCTAGAAGGAGGCCCTGGGCTGTGCTGGGGGCCCTGGAGGGGCCCTTGGCTCAGAGGAGGTCGGAAGGGGGATTTTGCTGTATTTGGTGGGTTCTGTGGATGTTATTTGTGTGATAGGAAAATACACTGTATTTGTGGGCTCTCAGTTGCTACTTTGGAAACTAAAGGGTGCGCTGGACTCTTCTCCCCTCCTCTTTTGAGCGGTTTAACTATCCTGGCGCCTTTCCTTCCCTCTGTAGACGCTTGTAGGAGCTAGGCCCGGGTGTCCTCATGCCGCTGTGTGCGGGAGGGCTCAGCCCGGAGGCCCCCGCGTTGCCTCATCGCGTAATGTCATGTAGTGAAACCTTCCAATAAAGCAACGTAGCCTCCCTGCTGCCTGCGCCCTGCTGCTCTGCGTGTGGGGGAAGTGGCTTCGCCCCCCTTCTCGGCCCGCAATGGGCCCGTCCGCCC